AAATTGAAACAGCTCCACGGTGACTGTAAAGCGTAACAAAACCTTGTGCAAGAAAGGGTCCCTAAGTACAATGTATGGTTTTTGCAACGAGACTTCCATCCAAAGCTCCCATAGTTCGCCCATCATTTGGTTATGTGTGGTAGCACCTCAAACACAGCTTCCACTTTCAGACAGCTCTCAGCATAGAACTAGGGGAAGAAGGAAAGCAAATCCCAAGATGTAGCTGCTACAGCAATATCACAGCATATCCAACAATCACTTCATCATATAAGCCACAACACTGGTGAGTTGGTTCAGGATATCCGCTTGTATGTTGGTCTGTGTGTCGGAACGTAGTTTGTCGTCGCACTGTCCGTCCACAAATAAGGCAGCCAGCGGAATAAATCAAAGAACTGGAAAGGGCGAATTTCTTGCGATATCACTGCGTTGTGATCTCGATGTTATGATTACGAAGGCACTGAAAGCTTATACAGACACCTATTTACCATATTCTTAGCTTTTCAACATGGTGCTGCCGTGGAAGCTGGAGGAGAGTGCGGAGATGGGTGTGAATGCAAAGGGAGCGGACCAACCTCCTATCCATAGGACCAAGATCTAGTTCAGTCGTGATGTATTCGCACGTAATGTCACGACTGTACCATATCACGGACGAGGCCAGACTTCGCAGCAGGCTCACAGTTCTGAATCACTAGAAGCCAAGAGCCATCAGAGGATCTCCACAGTTACTCTCTTTTCGTTATATGTGACACATTAAACACAGATTGTATTTACAGTGTTCCTTCAAAATGGGTATGAGGTGGAAGCAAAGTCAATATAGTAGCTATATAGGCTGCTGAAAGAGCGAAACCACGATATATTCAAAAAATTTCGTGATTCTGTGAAAACTGCCCAGTTCCAACAAAACTTACGCTTTTGTTTCTCTGTTTTGAAACACAGCTCCATTTCCATCAAGAACAACAATCACAAATACGATTTCCTAATTAGACTTGACTAATTTTTCATTCGCGTCAAGGTCTATCAAACTTTTTTTTCTGTATAAGCTGTACTCTTGTGTCCGGAATAGCGCACCTACGCGTGCATCCAATAAATAAATAAATAAATAAATAAATAATGAATGATGGACCCTGATGAGTAGTCCTACCGAGGAGTCGATTAAATTGCAAAGATCAAAAGAGCGCTGTAATAGAGTTTTTTGACAGTTTGCTTCGGTTTTCCTCAGACAATGACCCGATGGCACCGGTAGTATGTCATGTTGAGCAGTTACCCAAACTCATGGCAGTGCCTTTCTATGGAGGCTTCCGTACGAGAATTTTCCCTACATCTTCGAAATCCTCACATAAGTTTGTAGGCGTAGTGACTGCTAACTACTCACAGAGTGCAAATTCTTATCAAGAAAAGCGAACTCGGTCTTGATCAATTTTGAAGATCTTGCGGTTCAGTTTCATTAAAGAAGCAATCAACGATGGCATTACACGTTGGATACGCGCAACTCTGCATCATCAACCGATTAAGGTCGGGGATAGATGAGTGGTTTGAACGGGAAACTGCCACTGGAAGGTTAGATACGATAAATAGAAAGTACGGCGCGTGGAATGAGGTGCTTTTCAGCATGAGAATCGAACGATAACGACAGCAGTACATATCATATAGCACGCTGCTACTGCATCCCCTTCCACGTCTGATAAGGAGGTGCAACGCCGAACCGGAAGTGGGTTTCGGCGCCTTATCACGCCGTTGATAAGGCGCCACTGCCCCTGAAGCGTCACCTGTCGTCCATTGGGTAGGACCCCTACCCAATCCACTATGTCACTTTCCCTATCGTCTCCATAGGAATTTCCGTGACCACTTCCTTCAAGACCTAGTAGCGATTGTACGTGCTCAAGCCTGTGCAAGGGTTGTGCATTCCCAGTGCGAATGTCTTATTTACCTTACGAGTGCTTATCAGACACTCACCTCAAGAAGCTTTTTACCCAACTCGAGAGCTTGAGCTGTTCCTTTCTCCTTCAACGGTTCTGCGGGTGCAGTCACTGTACTTCTGAAATAAGTGCCTCCTTTCCCACAAGCTGCAGGACATTAAAACTCATTGATGGCTCTGTGTAATTCGAATTCTCAGAAGTCAAATTGTGATATTCTCAAATAAACAATGTGCTCTAGAAGTGTAGAAGTGTGTGGAACTGATGGAAAGCTACAACAGACAGTACCTTATTTCTGGCTCCGTATAGATTCCCATTTCAAGAAGGGTCTTCGAAGGGCAACTAATCATCACTATTCCGATTTTCGCCTTCGGCATATATTCGGAAATGTTAACCACATAATCAATTACCTGAATTGTCACATCTTTGCCAAGAAAAATTCCAATAGAATAGCTTCAATATATGCTAAGTATGTGTCGGAATGTAAGGAAAGTTTTTGCGGTCTTAGCCGATTCATCAACTCCGTTTAGTTTTTGACAGGCTGCTAAATTTTGCATATTGCTGATCTTCTTCTTCGGACTCTATCAGGCTAGGGTCAGCCCATATTATATTTTTCGTGTGGTCTCGCATTTACAAAAAATGTGCTGTGCAGCGATAGTTTGGAAGTCTCTGTAAGAAGAGCGGGAGCCTCGAAGGTGGTGAGGAGGGTTGCTGAATAGCGAAGGTCAGTAAATGTTTTGTGAAACGCCTGATAGGACCAAATGTGCTCACAGAGATTGAGAAGGCAGCTAGCTTATTTAAGCCTGTCCCATCTGTGGTCGACTGTCCTAAAGGCAAGATTCGGAATAAAATAGGTAAGCGTTCAGAAATGAAGCTATAGGTGGGAGGTGGTCCATAAAAGGAAAGCAAACGAAACCACCGATTACGCCCCGTACAGAGACCTCCCCTATTTCAGCCACATTCCACCTTGGGATAGAGAAGAGGCGCGTTGGACGAGTTTCACGAACCTAACTCTAGTTGCTCCAGTGCCAATGACATTGGTCGCGATGGGACCGCTGCCTCAAATGCGCCCGCGCTTTTCAAGCAGCGCCACGTGGCAACCGACAGCGGAGGGTGGGGCTTGCGGACGAAGGTGTGAGTTGCGGGTCGGACGAGCTCCTTGCGCCTTTGTCGCGCACTTTCAAGCCGCAAAAGGGGCCCGACATCAACACTTGTCCACCTGCCTACTACCCCCTGGATGGAACAGGCGAGCCCGCCTGATCGCGGAGCGTGCCTTTAACACACTCCCTCTCAGCCAATGAAAACGACCCCTTTCGCGGATTTCGAGATGTGCTTTGTGAGTGGAGATTCTTTGCAACAACTCGTGAACCTAGGATGGTAGTTCGGTCATGAGTAGGGTCAACAAAACTTGGAGGTGACAGTGCACGGAGAAAGTTAACATATGCGCTCAGCAAGTGCCCACTCTCTTCCGCAATGTACCCCAGACGCATAGTACGGCTCCACTTCTCAATCATATAGCAGAAGTTATCTCGGCATTTCCAAAATTCCGGAGAAAACCCTTGGCCTGAATGACCTTTCGAATAGCGAGTATCCTATCTTCTGAAGCTGTTCGGAAAGAGTCCCATTGCAATGCACGAAACTGGAAGTCGCAGTTTTGGAGCATCATGAATATTTTCCGGCCTATCGCTTTTTCGACTTCTCTCTGCTTGGAATCCCTAGTGTATAGTAGGTAAAAAGCGACACAGTTTAGGAACTCGGCAGATGCTTGAAGGTTGAAACCGTTGTCGCGGTAAAAAGCTATCGATTAGAACAGTGGAAGCTGGGTTTCGCCCTTGTATTACGCCGCTGAATCTCTTTGTTCTGTTGAAGCGTTTAAAATTTTCCACCTCCACTAAGAGAACCTTCGATCCGAAGGTTGAAGGGACTAAACGAGGCAAGAGTTGGTGCAATTCTGCAAGTACACATGTGAGACCCGTAATGATCTCAAGATGAATAATCCCTTCAAATCTAATGGCTTAGCCTGTAAGCCTGTCTTTGCGTCGGCAACATGAATGGGTAGGTTCAATAGGAATTTTTGGATCCGGAATAGTCCAGGGATCGGAAAAGAAGTGGTGGGCACTATGCTGTAATGTCCCGAATGGGGGAGACTAACAGGCAGTGGACGTAGCGTTTTCTAATGGGCACACCCACTGAAGAAATTATAAGGTACGAAGCACTAGGAGAATTCTGATATGCCATATATGTGTCACAACCTCTTCTGAACATTCTGCTCTTAAGTTTTTGGAAGGCTGTACCGCTTTTTTCTCGAATTTGATTTCCGCCATAACTCAGTGGATCGACTATATCGCCGAACTTAGACTCAAAGGTTTTCACCGCCGTGATGTTCAAAAACGGTGAATGTGTATGTTCAGAAAACGTCATAGCTAGTCTGAAATGCATGTTTAACTAAATTTATCATCTTTTCAGGAAGGATTCTTTGAGTGATGTGGTTGTTCCGCAGTCACAGTCTGGACACCTTATGACGCAGGCAAAAATGCGAATCAAATCAGGACGAAATCAAAACTGAAACCATGTGTGGACAGAGCAGATAAAGCTCCCAAGTAAATATATAGAATGATGTAAAAGGATGGGCTTGAACAGGTAAAACATAGGATCGCCGTCACCACTCGGCGACGGGCAAGCCATGATCGCTCCATCGCTTGTCCGTCGCCGAGTGTGACGGCGGTCTCATCATGGAGCCGCTTATTTCAGCAATATCAAAAACCAAATTTGAGAAGAAGACTATGAGGCCTTTTGAACAACTTTAGTGGGATGTCTAGATGAGGTCATGACGAGTACGAGGCACTTCACTGATCGATTTCCTTCAGATGAAACAGAGCTAGAGCTAGATGCCGGCTTGGCAAGGTTTTTGTACGGCCTCTCAGTTCACAGGCCAGTCCACTACATGTAAAAGATAGGTGAATGCTTTCGTAGCAGGCAGTTCTGTCGACTATGACATAATGCTTAGAAACGTGGAATTTCAAAGGAAAAATTCACACCTTGAGAAAAACGACATTACTTAGGAGACAATCTTATACTTGCTACTTATGCAAGAAAAAGCCCAACTTACCGCGTTGAATAGCTTTTCACTTGATTTTGTAAAGTCGATAATTACCAAGAGAGCCACATCTGATCCAGCTCCAGGGACAAATGGTATTTGTTCCAGCTGAACGCAGAATTTCATACAAACAAACAGCAGAAAATGCCAGGATTGCATTGTTTGGGAATTAAATGCAAATTGATCGAATGTAGAATCGAGCTTCATGAAAAACATTCAGGAATGACCAAAGTGTCAAAAACTCCTCCTTTTCCTTGCTCTTACGCTGTGTGGCTAATCCAGTTTGCTTGTCACTGTTTAGGTGAAAAATAGGAGAGTAGTTTCAATACTGTATATATGGCCTTAAAGGCGGTGACCACGATAGCTGGAGGTTCACCAGCTGGGTGCCATTTGATGATGTCATCGAGCTCAAGTAATGGGCCAAACCCCTAACCGCGCTGGAGTGGCTGGGAGAACCCGCTTAAATGTCTTTCCACTACTGAGCTCAATGACGGCTTCAAAGCACTCTGCAGTCTCGTGGTCACTGCAATAATCGGTTTATGACCGTAATGATCATATGCGGCAGTGGTGTAGGTGTAATAGGGCATCTGCAACNTTCTTTCAATAGATGGGATATGGATCATGCAAATATGCTTTCAGCAAGACGGAGAACTATCCTGTTCTGTTCAAAGGGCAGCTCTGCAAGAAAAAAGAGCTTAGAAATGGACACACCATGCCTTTGTTTGGTGTTGAGCGAGAAGTACTGCTATCGGGTTGAGTCAAAGACGACTCACTCCTGCGCTTGCACGTCGACTGCTTCTTTGTGTCGTGCTCCGCACTATGCTGACGCTGATTACGCCCGCTACTGGATCCGTCGGGTGGTCCATCTGTAGTCTTACCCATGCAGACCCATTGCGCCACTCTGATATACACGTTTTTCCCCACTGTCTGAAAATGAGCTTGAATACTAATTGACGTATACATTTATGACACAGAGGTTTCCTGAGCTGTTTCTTCAGCAATATCCAAAAGTTACAGCTCATCATTGA